TCGAAATGGATACCCTAAACTGATCAAATAATTTGGAATTATAATTGTTGTGACAAAGTTACAACCATACATATATAGCTTTCTCAACCATACGCGTACTCTTTATAAAACCAATATCATTATCGGTGATACGCATTAATTCGTGCGGGTAATTAACAAAATTAAATAATTCTAATTACATTCGAGCGAAGGTAGTTTTTACTCTTGTAAGTGAAATTTTTTTTTTTTAAGAAAATACTTTAATCCATTAACGCCCACAATCCATATTAGATGTGCAGCAGTCTGCGCGAAGAAAAAAGAAAATTTATATAAAGAAAACGAAAATTTTTGAAAAATAAGAAAAAAATGTAAATGTGGAAAAAAAAAAATATATATATATAAATAAATAAATAAATAACAGATGCGTGCACAAACATGTCAACTCGATAATAAAGTGCAATAAGACAAAGTCTAGGGCAGTTCATCGCAACAACAGAGCGTCCCATCTAATGTTGTACTTTAACTATATGCACACTACAACAAATATGGGATAACGCGTTACATTTTGGAGAAAATCAAAAAAACGAAAAACAAAATGTTATCTGATCCGTTGACGATTTTGTGTTCCAGAGTAACAATAATGTCATATGCAAGCGAATTTTTGCCCAATATTTCTTTCTTATAGCTATGTAGTGTAATTATTATCAATTAAAAGAATGGAATAACAATCGATGAAAACCTCACACATCCATACATAGTATGTTCAAAAAATAAAGATAATTTTTTCAAATTTCGTGGCATACGTATATTCGATCTTCGAATTTGTTTTTTTGGTTTTTTTTTTTTTGTTTTTTAATTTCATTGTGTTGGTACACATGTTCCCGACATATGTTGACATTATCAGACTTTTTGTTTTCGGCAGATAGACGATAGTAAATGTTAGACGAATAGTTCGGATAATGCATCAGCTTGCATATCATTGCTTGTTCGTAATTTTTTGGCCAATAACTACACCGTAATCATGCCTTAGCCATCGTATTCATCGCATTTGACATCCCGCGACTTTTTTCCACTCCCAAAACTGAAAAGACCCATGAAAGGAGGAGGTTTATCACCATTAAGAAGATAACAAAAAAAATGGACAAATACACAAAACACGTCTACACTTTTACATTTGTTAAAAAAACAAATTAAAAATGCAAAAAGTGCCTGATAATGTCTACATATGTTGACGATATGTGTACCAACATAACAAAGAAAAAAAAAAAAAAAAAATGACGAAGAAAATCCAAAATCGAACATACGTGGCCCCGGAAATTTCAACAATTGCCTTTTCTTTCTTTTTTTCTTCTTTTTTTTTTTTTTTCTTGAGCACATCTCGTGTAATTGTTTAAGCAAGTGTTTGCAAGCGAGCGCAGAAACAGTTTAATGAGTTAAAATGTTATCGCGTCTACCAATCATCTTTGAGAAGTGCGCTTAAAAGTGCGCCGTATCTCTCCAATTGTTAATAAAATATATTGACAACATTTTAAACATGTCCAAGAAATTTCGTATTATTTGCACATACTTAACGCCTAAATTGTTTACCTTTAAATCATGTAAGCTGACAACCCCATGTAACGAAGACGCCTCACAGTTGACGATGAGGAGAAAATAAATGTTAAACTATTTGTTATAAACAATTACATTCAGAAAGTTTAATCAGATCTATTTATATTGAGCAATGACTGACTGACTGACTGACTGACTGACTGACTGACTGACTGACTGACTTTATGAAATTGAAGCGATTATCATTTATTCAAAGCGAAAACATCGAAATCATATATGAACAGACCTCAGCATGGCAACTGATTACAGGAATAAATGGCAATTTTTCAATAGGACTGACTACTACTACTACTACTAATACTATCTGTGATTCGTTGCTGAGAAGTTATACACATGGACCACGAAATGATTTACTTACGCGATCAAAAATCTTTGAAATGACAATAGAATGCAACTTCCTACGAATACGCTTACGCTCGTTCATTTCAAAGCGCCAACATGTATTCTGGTCAGAAAAAAAAAATATATTAAAAGTGCACCGGGCAAGGTGCAAGATCTTTTGTTGCCCGATCAAGATCTTTTGTTGAGACTGGTGACGGCGTGATGAGCGAAATTCAAACATTTACGTGATGTCTTGACTCAGGTATATGAAGACGAATGTGCGATGACTAAAGGCAATAATAATTGCTCCCCGCGGGGTTCGCCAAATGGTATTTACATTCGATCTCGATAGCAATGGTATTTTGAATGTTACTGCATTAGAGCGTTCCACCAGCAAGGAGGAAAATGGTAGCGGGAAAGGATTTGGGATCATATTCCTTCAACATGAAGGCAACTTTGGATGAGCTTATATATGTCGTGGCGAAGACAGTGTTCATTTTCTTCTTCTTCTTACTTATCGCTAAAGGAAAAAATTTCCTCATTCGCGAAAGCGAAGGAGACTTTTACACATTTTTGTCCTTAACAGTGGTTATGAATGTTAAAATGTCCTCGAAATCTTGGGGAAACTTATCCCTTTTTTTGTATACGAAATGTATTTCGTCATATTCTGACATCATTAATCATAACAAATTCGCATCGGAATCGAAACTTAAGACCTTTTCGTTGCTTTATTAGTGATTTAATTATCCTATACTAATGAACCCTATCTGGCTTTCATCTTTTCACTATACACCAATGATTTAATAGTTTATGCTGGGAAAAAATTAAAATCCAAATTAAAACAACTTGACAACTTGATGCCGCACAAGCGAATATATTGAGATGAGTTTCAAATAAGCAAACGCATTTCTTCGTTAGGTGCGTCCTTTTGCTGTGCTCTGTCTCGCTTTTCATTTATTTGTAAAAGTATTACAAATGAAAAAAGGAAAGTAGAAAGTATGAAAGAAGCGATGGATAAGAAACGCGAGAACGAAAAATTAACGCTTTGTTATTTGTATTAACCATAAATAGATGTACAGTAAAAGCTCCTTATTCGCGGTTCCTTTATTCGCGTTATCACTATTCGCGGATTAAAAAATTTCTTCATTCGTGGATCTAATAAGTGCATACATAATAATTAAAGGGATTCGGATATGTATCCAATTACCATTTCGTATTCACGCACACATACACCGCGAATAAAGAACTTTTACTGTATAGCGTGAAAGCATAGCAAATGTGTCTTATCGTTTTGCAATAAGTTCACCTATCAATTACTGGAAAGTGCAGATCATATAAAAACTACATAGCCTGATGCTGGAATTAAGATTGGGTGAGGCAAATATATTTCGCTATTGACAATATTTTGCAAGTGGTGAAGAGCTTGCACTTTAAGATCGCAGTCGGGAGAAGAAGCAGTCAAAATGTCCACAAAGTTTCTGACTTTTTTTAAAAAACGAACACACTTATCGTTCGGATATGCTTAAGCCAGAGACGACAAAGCGCTTGTAGATCAGTGAAGAACTTTCACTCAATTGAACGCGCTTCAAAAAAACCTAAATAAAAGTGAACGGAAGAGTAGAGACTTACCAGCGGTAAATGATGAAGTAAAAAAAAAACGGAATAGTTTTGTGCGGCGAAAACAGTTAAGCGCATTATTTGCATATGAAGTAGAAGATGAAGTTTTCGAAAAATCACTGTGACAATCACTATTTACTTCCGTCACAAATTGGTTTGTATGGTTGTGAGGAAGACACTTTTAGCATATCCATAACATAAATTAATGACAACATTTCAAATTCCCAGATGTGAATTTATTTGGGATTCTTTTAAAATAAAAATCATAACCAACTGCAACGGCAATGTGGCATTAGCGGGAAGAAGGGAAAAACAGTTTTTTACTGGAAAAATTTAATGCTAAAGTCATGATTTCCTTATCGAGGTTAAGGTAGTTGGTAAACAAAATCATATCAGTTAACTTAACAGAAAATCATATCATATCGTTCGACTTTTGATTCTGTGATTGTGGCTAAGGCGTCTCGCGCCCACAATACCAGCAATATTTTCTAGCAACTGGGGTAAAGTGTTTTCAAATTTTTTATGCATCAAACATTTTATACGATCAACTTGTGATAAAGATAATGGATATCACCATATTGGAAAACAGAATACAAGGAGATGTGGTCAAGGGGATGGATTGCGTTGGGGAAATGTGCTTCAAAAACTGAGCAAAGCATTAATTCAAGAAATACATCACTGAAAAGGATGGCGATACGACATCCATTTACATGTCATCTCCCACAGCGAAAACCGAAAAGGGATTGAGTATTTTAGAGGGCTTCTGGTGTAATCATTTCAACGATGGCTTGAATAAATGGCCATCGTAATGATTAGCTACGATGACGATGCTTCAATTTTGATCGAATATATCAAATCTTCTTAGCCGGCAAAAGATTCTTAATAGACGTTTTCGATAGAGAATTAAGATATCAGCGTTATATACTCTTTTTTTTTATATGTGTAGTAGACCGATATCTGATTAATATATCTAATTAGATTTTACGTTCATAGAAAATAGTTTTACTAGAAAATATTTCCAACTTCCGAATCCATCAGATCGGTGCCAATTTTGTTTTTACACGATAGATACGTTTACGAAGAATACGTGCAAAAAGAATCATGTAAAAAATATGTATATATATATATATATATATATATATTTATTTATTAATTTATTTTTTTTTTTTTTTTTGCCTTTTCTGTGGACATATAGAAGATGGCTTTCATACCGAATAAGTTGAATCGTAGAAGTAGTGCAGTAGTAATGCAGCGAAATAAAATTGAACGCAAAAGCGATTTATTTTATAATGCCTATGAAATTCAAAGATTGCTTGGACGATTGCTTCGGCGATTTCGGGCGTAACAGTAAAGGTTCGATAATAATATTTAAAAAAAAAAAAAAAAAAAAAAAAAAAAACATTTTACTGTTAACTTAATTTTTGTTAGAGAAGAGAGTTGAAATACGTTTGGTATAAATGCCAGTCACTTACCGGATTAACTGCTGGCTTTTGTAAATGCGTGGCAATATTTGTTATATTCATACCCATAGTCGGTATTTGAGAGCCGTATAGTTGACCAGCCGTCGGCGTCATATCAGTTAACATTGTGAAGCTGAAGTCGTAGATTATTTTTTACTTTTCAAACAAAACAAAATGAATCTACGAAGATCTCTACGAAGAATTATCTTTAAGCACCTATTTATCTAAATACGCAGATAATTTTTTTTAAAGTTTCGCTCAACAAAAATGTTCGCTGAGCATTAACGCATAACTTTTTTGGTTGTTGTCTCGTTGAAAAGCGTTGATTTGTACTTATGCAAAAGTCAAGTCAGTGTTAACCACAGGAGCAGCATGAATTTTATGTTTGTTTTTATACGCAATGGTTTTCAAAGTTTTCGCACTTATTTAGTTTTCTTTTTTTTTGCTTTTTTGCTTTTTTCTTTTTTATTTTTCCTTTACTTTTCTTTTAATTTATGTACGTTTTTTTTCGCACAAACACTGCAATTATTTATTTATTTATTTATTTATCTTTCTTTTTTGACAATTTTCAATAGACGGCTTTGTTTTTATGTGAGTCCGAGATTAGTTTTGAAGGAAAAAAAAACAAAAAAACAACAACTATTATTAGTTTAAAGATTTTTATTCTATTGTTAAAGCGTTCACACACACACACACATGTTCGGTCTTGTAACACTTATTAGATGTCGCCGCCTGCGTATATAAATAGTGTGCAGAAAAAAGAAGAGGAGGAATAAGAAAAAAGCAATATTTCGAAAAAGAACTAGAAAGAGAAGGTCTGAGTTTACCAACAATAGACCTTTTGACAGCCAGTTTAATCTTACAAGAAAGTAGTTTTGTTTGCCTTTTCTTTAGTTTTTTTTGTTTTCGTTGTTTTTTTTTTTTTTTTTGTTGCCTTTATTTCGCTTTCAATCTTTATTGTCAGGAATAGCTTGGGCCTGTTATATTTGATGAGAAGAGCAATCTGTCACATACTGTGAGCGTTGAAAGGCAGTAAACTAACTAGCCCAGCATGCTGCCTAAGTTACTAAGAAGCAGCAGGTAATTGCTATATTCATAATATACACCATAATTTAATAATGACAACAACAGCAAGGGCAACAAACAATACGAGCAGGAATAAAATTATTATTATTATTACGACGATTATTTGGTTTATTTAATCAAATTTGAAGAAACAAAAATCGCGATTGCGATTACTTCCACTTGATTTATAAAGAAAGCCTGTTCAATTAAGCGCAGCTTCACTTATCCCTTTTTCGATGTATTTGCAAAAAAAAAAAAAAAAAAATCCTATAACTTTTTTCTAGGCATCGGCACACAAAATACTTGTTTTGTTTCATTTAACTGTATTTTGGTTTTCTTTTTTTTCTTTTCATATATTTTTTGATGCACTACTCACTCTATCCAGCACTCGCTAAAAAATGTGCGTTGCTTTGTTTGTTTATTTTACTTTATTTTTTCTTTTTTTGTTTGTTTTTTTTCTTGTTTTTTTTTTCTTTCTTTTTTTTTTTTTTTTTTGGTATTTATTTTTATCACTGCAGAGACAGGAATAATAAATAAGTTGGTGGTGGTGTTGATAGTAATGGTGATGACTGTGGCTTGGATGAATGGATGTTAAAAAAGTTTATGACTTTGTCTTGAAGTATGACGTTATCGAATTTTTCATCCGCGCAAATTTTTAACTCGTCAACGCTGATCGTTTCTGTACTTGCAACTGTTTCGCATGAGACGTTAGCAAACAAAAAGCTTTCAACACACAACCGATACAGTACTCTATAAAAAATTACAGCAACAACACCAACCACGACGACATACATTGAACAACAATAACAAAATGAAAAAAAAAGAAGAAAAATAACAAAAACGGCAATAGCTACACAATATAATCGTCACATACACGCAGATACATATAATATAAACTATAATACTTTATTAAAGCCCTACTCGAATGTATATTTTTTACACTTACACAATAGCCATTAACAATGAGTTCATGTGTGTTTGCGCATGCAAAACTCGTTTAACTTGTATGGTATGTTTTGTGCTTAAGTTTGTGTTGTGTATATCGTTATATCTTATTGCTGCTATGTTGTTTTGCTGGCGATGATGACGATGATGAAAAACAAACGTACCGGTGCCGCAAACCAGTACAACTGCCATACATTAACAACAACAATAGCTAAGCAACCCAATCAACGAAAAACGTTGACACGCTCTTTCTCTCCCTATCTTTCTCTCTCTCTCTCTCTCTCTTTCTCTCGCTCTCAGCTCAAGCGCTCTCTTATTTCTATACTAAATTTGAAATGGGGCCTTAGCGTTGTATATATATATATATATATATATATATATATATATATAAGGAAAATAGTTGAAATTCGCAAACAATATCTCTCCTCCTTAACATAAACAATCACCATCATCACCACCATCGCCACCACCACCACCACCACCACCATCACCACCTCCAGCACCATTCATTTTAGTAATATATATACACACACACACACACACACACACATACTCGTGCTTTAATAGTTTCTTATATCTTACCTATTGGCGCACCCAAATTCTATGTAAGTGCATTTATCACCCTATCTTATATTATGCAGCAGCACCAAACAACAGCAACAGCAAGCAACCCCACGGTGCTATTTTACTATAGCCTAACTCTTCATTCATAAATTTTTGTTTTATAAGCAAATTGCTCTCCCATGCACAAAAAAAAAAAAAAAAAAAAAAAAAAAGAAGGAAACCAGTTTATTTAACCAAAGCACCTACTCTGCTCTCTCTCTCTCTTTCTCTCTCTAACAATGTTTTCTTTATTTTATTTGGTAAACGCCCCCCATTGAGTACCCATGCAGCCAATTGTATGACTGCTTTGTTTTATTCATACCGTAACCTATAATTATAGCGATGGCCGCTAAAGAAGAAAGATAGCTATATACTATGAATTCTCTTTTACTCCTCAATAAAACATATTTATACATATGCATATGTATTCTTGTACGTATGGCTAAAGCATGTTTTATAATCACCAATGTTTCCGGTACTCTCTCGCTTTTTGACTCGTGTTCTCTTTTCTTATGATGAATACACACACACAAACACACACACCCATATATATTATATTACATATATATGCATTTGCACAGATATATACATCTGGATTGCTTTTGTTGTCACTCAATAATTTTAAGGTTATTTTACTTTAAATTCTAAATAAAGATTCACTGTAGAATATTATATACAAAATGAAAAAACATGAGGATTTATTATGTGAAAATTTGGTTGAACAGCGTGAATTGTACAATTGTACGGACATTAATATTTAAACCCCATATACATGCGAATAAGTATATATTTTAATAATTTATGATTTCGCTTAGAATTTTGTGGACTCAACGTTTTTTCATGCATTCTTCATTCGTATAAGAAAATATTTGAAAATTAATTCTTTGTTATAAAAACCTTACAAAATGAAAGGACAAGGACAATTATTAATACATAGATAAGATCTACAATGTATATGTTTTTCGATAATCGAAATTTTTGAAGCGGCAAGGGTATGTCCATTCGTATCGCTTCCGTATGTTGTTGCAATTTCCAAAGTCAAAACACACTAACAGTAGAAAATTAATGTCAAAGCTTAAGGACGAGGACGATTGTTCCGTAAATAACTTTCGAAAAATTAATTGAATTAATTCCTCATCTAATACATATCTTTAGTTCGATTTTGTCGAGCAAATTAAAAGAAAATTTAACTAAATCGAAAACAAGGTATAAAAATTATTCCTATCTCATCTCAAACGTCTCAGGATACGATTCGTTTCTCTATGTTAGGCACAATAAATTAAAAAAATGGGAAAGAAACATTAAGAAAATCTTTAAATATTTTTGTCATAATGAGCTTGAAACGAATCCTGGGTATCTATTAACTTTAGCAAAAAAAAAAAAAAAAAACCAAAATCCCTCAAATCTCGATCGATCGCAAGGAATTGTTTTTCAACTCTTAGTTTGAAGTCTATTAGAACTTGGTAATGACAGTTTGAAATTTTCTTATTTTCCCGTAAGGTTATTTTCTACCTCCTTTTAATTGATGGGCATGTGTTTGAAAGAATTATGGACTCGAGTCGGCGAAAAGAGCGTAAAAATTTCAGCTTTCTATTTCGTCCTTTGCGAACGCAAGGATCCTTACAATAGATGACAAACTTACGGCTAAATCGATGGACACGCCCGAATCGACTCGGAGTCTTATGCTAACTAAAAATGTATGAGCAGCACTTCTGAGTATAATACCATAAGTAAAAAAGTTCGTATTCCATCATTCGCCAATCGATCATCATTTAATTATTATCTTAACATATTGCTGTAAGAAATCGTAATAATTTTTAAGAAACGCATATGTTTAATGTGTCATCCGTTCGCTCGGCTAGATGAAAGCAACAAGCGCAGACTATCGAAATTAAGTTTAACAATAATGA